CATTTCATGGTCGCTAAGCCCAAGACGGCTTCCGACCACCACATCTCCCACCAGTCCTTCTCTGTTTGTAAACTGCAGGTCGAGCAAGGCACCTCCCCTGGTAGGCTCACTTACCAGCTGTGTCAGGAAGTTGTCTTCCACACACCCCAGGAACATCTCAGATTGTTTCCTCTCTGCCTTGTTGTATTTGAAACATTTTTACACAGGAACAACTCAGCTACAGCAAAACAAAACAATCTTTTTACTGAACTATAGTGCTCCAGCCTAGGATGCAAAAAACAAGAAGTGTTTTGCCTGGCATTGACCAAGTAAAATCTTTTGCTCCAAAGCGTGCTGTTTGCTTCCTACACTCTCCTGTTTGAAAACACGCTGAAGTATGACATGCTGCTGAGCCTGGAGAAGGTAAATGAGATTATATTCCCCTTCTGCAGGTAATAGTGCATCAGTATATCAGCACAGATATAGTGAAGTCAACATAGCGACATCGGTTGACACCAATTATTTCCTTGGAGTGTATCGACCTGATCAGCCGAGTTCATTCACACCCTACATGACTGGGCTTGTCCACGGCTGCCAGAAATAGAAAATTAGCAAACGGCAAGCAGTAAACATGACCCCACAACAGAAGGTATCAGATCACTGCCAGAAGAGAGGCTGGGGGGTCATTGCTGATGTGCTGATGGCGCCCCAGTGCAGTCAGAAGCAGCCCCCGTAACCGGGCGGGGACCAGCAGCATCCCCAGGGATGGCCACCCGCGCCCACCGAGGGTGAGCGGGGGCCTGGCCTCACAGCCGTTAGGGACTAGGCACACGTCGGTGCAAGACGTGCTGGACGAGGGGAACAAGTAACATCACTGCGCCCCACGACCCAGGAGCGGAGAAGTAAAAACAGGCAGTGGTGCTTCCCATCACGACATGGGCAAGGGCATAACTAAGCTGAAGCAGGTGGCTCAGCAGCTCTGCCTGCCCCACGGGCACCCGGGGGTTTCAGCCTCCTTTCGCGGCCCCCACGAGACTCAAAGCCTTGTTGAGGTTGTCAGGGGCCAATGGGAACCTCGGTCTTGAACCATCAGCGCCTGCGAGGGGCAGGAAGCAGGATGGGACCTTCCCAACCAGCCCAGCACAGATCCTCCCCCACTCGCCCCACCGTCCCTCCATCCCTGCCTCCCCCCCTCTCGTCACAGCCTAGCCTGGCCATCACCTCAGACACAAGCAGGCCCATAGCTCACATTCACCCAGCATGGCCAAAAATAACATTCTCTTATTTCACTGTTCAAACACTTCACATGATCCAGACAAACATAAGGGGGGGGGGAATAAATACTTGTGAAACCAGGTTCCCCTCCCAGGCAGGGCAGGCAGAGCACCTGGGTCCCCGCTTTCACCTGCCATCCCTAGTCCTGGCGGGGAGGGGTTCCACCTGGCTCCAGCAGCACAGCCATGACTGGCACAGCTCCAGGCTGCGCACCGAGGTTATTAATGGGAAAAGCAACACTGCAGCGATGGAGGAAAACTCTTGCTACAGCCGGTGGGGTGCAGAGGAGCTGGCATCAAACAGGTGCATGGCACTGCCGCTGTTAAACGCAGGTCCCAGCGCTGGCCCAGCTTGACTAGTGGCCCAGCCTACAGCTGCTATGCTAAAAAGTACATTGGCTGCTAGGTTGTGAGGCTATTAAGACAACAAGAGTTAGAAAAGCGTGCATCAGTGCAGTTCCTGCGCTGCCAGTCCCTACCCTGCAGCTTCACTGCTCCTCCCTGTCAAGAAGCCAAGCTGAATTGTTCCAGTAAAAGGGGGCAAAAAAATGTCTTTAGCAGTGCTGGGATATCAGGATGCACGGGGGGGCAAAAAAATGCCTTTAGCAGTGCTGGGATATCAGGATGCACCTGCAGAAGCAACAGGGAAATAAACGAATTCATGTTAGGACACTTAATAAGCACAAGAGCAGGCCATATTGTATTGCTCCTCTATGCTGTTTAAAAAAAAAACAACAAAAACCACCAAGAAAAACACACACAGCACCACTACACAGAAAAAAAAAAAATCTGTGCAATTTCAGTGCTGAGGGTTGAACTGTGCTCTCTAATAATGCTTGCAGGCATGAAAGATGGCTTGCAGACGTGCATAGGCACCGCTGCAGCAGATGGAGTGTTTTTACAACACTGGGCTGTAAAAATGGAGCTCAGGTACAGCAGAGTTTAAATTACTAGTAAATTACTAGCAAAATAAGTATAAAAAAAAATCCTACATCAAACTCCATAAACCTTCAAGTTTTGCTTGAAGGCACAATCTGGCTTCAGAAAGTAGTAAGGAAATGGAGCTGGCATGCACATTGAGCAATCCAGATCTCCTCCTGACCTCTTATCAATAGCTCCCATGTATTACACAGCCTCCCAGGTTCTGCTGTGCAACCCCATGATCTCTCACAGGCTGGCCGAGTGACAATCCATCATAATCCAGACATTTTTCAAGGAACAATAGCCAGCGACACTAAAAAGGCACGAACATCATGCCAGACAAGCGTAGCCCTAAGGGCAAAAGCGCAGCACGCAAGACTGGTTCCTGTGTCATCTCTTTCAGTGAAAACACACAAGTTGGAGCTTTTGGGAAGACCGTAAGAATTCCTTAAGATCTCATATGAATCAAATGCTGGTGCAACCGTATTGCAAATATTTATACCTTAAGAAGTGTTAGATGTTAAATTTACAACTATTTTTCCTATTCTGTACCTTCTAGGTGTACGTCTCCCAAGCGTCTCCCAAAAGCCTGACCTTGCAACCAGCACATGCTGCAGGTTCAGTTGTCAACAGACACAGCAAAGCCAGCGGCAGACCTCTCAGATGTGTTGGCAGATTGCTTTGGTCACGAATAAGACTGAGGTTGTAGCCTGTTTGTCTCTTCCCAGTCCTGAGGGAAGACTAGATACTGGCCTTGGAATTTTGTTAATAGCTAGAAGGTTTTTAACTGTACACAGTTTTAAATACCGCAGGGCAGGTGCAGTTAAGTCTCTTGACAGATTAGCAGGTGTTAAACTGCAAACCCCTAGATAATCCAAAAGATGACAACCCTCAGTAGGGCCTGTAGCAATAGGACAAGGGGTAATGGTTTTAAACTAAAAGAGGGTAGATGCCGACTAGATATAAGGAATTGGATTGGGGGTGGTGGTGGTGTTGGTTTTGTTTGTTTTGTTGTTGTCTGTTGGCCAGAGAGGTGGTGGATGCCCCATCCCTGGAAACATTCCAGGTCAGGCTGGACGGGGCTCTGAGCAACCTGATGTAGTTGAAGATGTCCCTGCCCACGGCAGGGGGGGTGGACTAGATGACCTTTAGAGGTCCCTTCCAACCCAAACTATTCTATGATTCTATGATTAAATGTACAGAGGTTTTTCTCTCGAGCCATTCTTCTCCACTGCACGTGTACTGTGCATAAACTTGAAAGCAGAAAATAAAGCTACTACTCCGCAGCAAGTTGCTAAAGAGGACATGCTTTTGACAAAAAAGTTTAATATACTTAGTGATAATTTAATTCGTTATTCATTTAGGAATTGTCTCTCTATGCACTAAACAACTACAATTTGGGTGGGACAGAGAAAGGCAACGACAAAGCATAAGAACAACCAACCCTTTAGTTTTAGAAAATTATGCCAGAAGCACCATAGGAAGATGAAGGAGTCCCCACACAACAACTTGCAGAACTGGAAACTGATGCGAGCTGCATCTTTGGGGGTGGGTTTTTTTAGTTTTTGGAAGGGTTTTTTTGGGGGGAGGGGGAGTTGTTTTGTTTTAAACCAGCAGTTCTTCATTCTAGTTACAGCGTCTCAGTGTGAGCTCCTGGGTCACTGCACGCGTTCTTTGTAGTCGAGAGAGCTGGGAAACTCTAGGAGCAGTACTGAGCATTAGCCCCTCCTTTTTATTGCAGCCAGGAGAGAAACCACGTACCTCATTAGTGCTCCTTCATGCGCCTTTCTACTCCACAAAAGGCAGTTTCTCTTCCCTTCCTCCTGCATTAGCCAGTTTCACATCAGAAAATGCCAGTCCTCGCTTCCCTCCAGGTAGATGGTAATGTCATGCATAGCTGCTAAAAATCAAAGCTGCAGCTTTGCCTGGGCACAACTAAGGAGGAGTTGGAAGGGAGACGGAACACAGGTATTCAACACTGTGGTGTCCTATAGGCACCATAAAGAGGTCTCTACAAAATGCAGACAAATTAGAAAACGGCTTCCTTCCCCCAAAAAAACTGTGCTATCCGCATTGAAAAGAACTACAAGAGAAAAATGAAAGAAAAAAACTTCCTCCTACAACTTGCAATTAGAGAAGCAAGAGCTGTGATGCTGCCTGTTAATACATGAAAGCCCACTATGGAAGGAGAATTCACACTAATAAAGTCTCCAAATGAATAGTGTGTATCCACAGTGATTTTAATAGTTCAGCTTCTGAATCTTACAGTCATATCTGACATAAAGAGATTGTAATTGATTTATTAGCTACAAATATAAATTATACCTGGATTTTCTTTTTTTTCCTTAAGAATAAAAAAGCACCGTGTGTTCAATCTTCCAAAGTTAGAATGGCAAGGGGAAAGAGGATAATCACGTGAAAGCCATCGAGAGTACACAAACAGATCATTTACATGCAACATGAAATGACGAGTCATTAAAAACCAGACTCCTTCAAAACTGTTCAACTGATTGTCGCTACCAACTGTACTAACACACCATTTGTCTTCAGAGCCCATGGAAACTGGCTAGTCTTCCTCCATAATTTTTACTCACATTCCCATTTTCATACACAGAGCTTCCCAGAAACCTTTAATGGTCAGAAGATTTGCTTTTTTTCCACATACACCATTTTAATCTATTTATTCCTTGACTTTTCCTTTCTGGTGAACTGCAAATACTTGTTACTCCTCAGTTTGCTGGAGCGGACAATTCCCCCCCCTTTTCTTATGTCATGCAAGTGGTTCAGGCACAACAACCAGACTTCGTCCTTTTTGCTGGCTTGTAGTCGGTAATGTCTACAGTTTGCGGTGGCCCCTCAGCTTTCTGCCGTACAATTATTGGGACTACCATCTCAAACACAGTTTCAAAGAGGTAGTCCACCTTGTATCCTGTTTTTGCACTGGTCTCAAAGCACATTTTCTCAGCTGCTGGAACATCCTTCTCATCTAGCATTTTGTATTTCAGTATCTTTTTATAGAGCGCAATCGCATCCTCTGCACAGACCTGCTTTCGCACCTTCGAGCCACAGCTAGCAACAGACTTCTCAGGTCTACTTTCATCCGGTGGTAAAGCAGAGTCATCGGAGAGGTCAACTTTATTTCCAACAATAGCAAAAATGCAGTCAGCACTCGCACTGTCCGTCAGTGCCAAGAATCTTTCTTCCAGCTCTGTCAGGCTTTGGAGGCTGTTCACATCATACGTGAGGATCACAGCAGCTGCTCCTCTGCAGTACATAGACCCGAGGCCATGAAACTGCTCCCGTCCTGGCAAAGGTTTAAACACAACAAAAAGTTAGTGTGCTGGAAGCTACATTATCATCAACTGAGTAAAAGAGTTTAAGGGATTTTAAGCCAATTTCACAAGTTTGGATGGAGCAGTGAAGGTAAAAATGTTTCAGTTTTTTCCTTCTGCTTTTCCTTAAGAGTGCAACAGTGCCAGAGAACAGCTCGGCTCACCACTTGCTCAATTTCAGGGCAGGGAATCTGTAAAGACAAGCAAGCGAGCAAGTGTGACACAGCATTCACAGTTGCAGAAAGCCAAAAAAGTTCAGGGTTTTTATTAAATTGCATACTAGTTTATTTCCATCACATTAACAACTACCCTGCTTGCATCCACAGATGGCCCATTCCACCTATTTAACCATTTATAAACAAAAAAAAAAGTTCTACTGTTTCAAATTCTAGAACTTATTACTCCTATAAATTCAGTATACACTTTCAAGTACATCCAGTTCAGAAATCTGGATCTAAGTGAGTAATTCACTTCTTCCTAGGTTTTGAAGGATCTTGAGCGATTTAGTTCTATGCTACATGCCCACAGTTCTCAGGTACATTGGCTTTACAGGAAAAGACTTGCCTTTAATGCTGCCATATATAGCCTGTATTGATATGCATCCACCACAAACACTCACACATTTTTGGAGTATTAAACACACACAATATAGAGAACCCCAACTACATTTTAAGAGTAATTTATCTTTTAAAGTTGCCCTGACCATCACTCAATAACCAACAGTTAATAACAAAACATTTCTTCCTCCTCGTCATTCAGCAAGTATCTACCAGCACTTCCAGCTAAGCCTTGACGGTCTCCTTCAAATTCGTTTCTTGGAAGGCAAAACTGACTCTTCTTCAAATTCTGGGAAGCAACCAATGTTCTTCAGTAGTTGCAAAGTGACTACGGGAAACGAGGCAGAAGACAGACAAACAGTGTGTTCCTTTCCTACCGAGAACTGCAACTTTCCCCAAATACCTGCTACGTGTAGAATTTGCTGTAACACATTCACTTTACTCCCTAAAACTTGATCGAGAAAAAGATAAAACACACTAGATTTGAACCAGCCATCAGTCAGGTCACTACAGAAGCGTGAATGAACAGAGAAAAAAAAAAAGATAAAAAAAGAGCCAGCTACGCTCTTCTGAACATTTAAGAATCATCATCATTTATCAACTCTTTTCGTACAGTCTCTTTGCGCAGAGCCTCCATTTATAGAAAATCTGGAAGTGATCTGGTTACATTAATTTTCTGCACAAAGCTACTGACCACCACGAATTACAGCATCATGAAATTCTTGTAAATGACTGTGGAATAGGAAAGGCAGAAGAAATTCACGCTGAAAAATACGAGTCGGCATATATTGGGAAAACACATCTGCACATGAACACGCACACGGTGAAAGTAACTTAGAGGCTATCTCCAGTCGGGAACAGAACTTAAAAGAACTACAGATAGAACTAAAAATAGAACTTAAAATCACTGTAATAGGTCCTTTGACAAACTTCAGGACACTACTCCGCGGTGGCCAGAAGAGAGAACACAGCGTTCATTGTTATCAGCAGAACACAACTGGAAAAGATCAAGCTAGAACATGAAATCCAAAGCTCACCACAGCTTTAACACTTGGTGAAACTCTGGTAACTGCCAGAGAAATAGTTCTGAAAAGGCGCAGAGTACCCTATAACGAGGTCTAAAGGAAGCTGGTGAGGATGCTCAGAAGCATGCAAAACTTTTGCATCAGGAAAAACTGCGGGATCTCTCAGACTGGTGAATGACTGAAAAAGGGTCTAAGTAGATGTCTATAAATTCAGGCCTAATACTGAGAGCGTAACCCAGAAACAACTATTTACTCTCTCGTAATGCAGAAAATGAGGAATTCCCATCAAAAAATCATGCATGCAGTTTAAATACTTTCCTACACAGTGAATAATTGGCAATAAGTGTCATATGACATTGCAGAGGTCAAAAGTTCAATGAAGGTCGTTCAGAAAAGCATTAGGCAAGGTTTACAGAGAATTACTTCTGTGCAATTTTGTATAACCTCCGATTTGTTTTCCTCCAGCAAGAGAAATTCTTTAACCAATGATCTGGAAGGTAGGAAAAAAAAAAGGGGGAAAAAAAGAATAGATATACCCTTGGTTTGGTACATGGGGTAAGGGCAAGGGAGATTGGGGTGTAGGGGAGGGAGAAGGTCGGTGCTTTTATACTTTTTCCTCCAATCTCATGTTCCAAGTGGTGCTTTCAGCTGCGCTGCAAGCGAGTTTTTAAAAAGTCTCCAATTTTTCAGTAGAAGTTTGTGCCGTGACCTACTTTGTTTTTATCCAAATCCTGATTATACCACGGTCTGGAAACCACAATGGAACACATATCCTCCCCCGTTCTCCCACTTCAGATGCCCAAGACATGAAATCCAGCCCCCAAAATCGTTTGCTACAGCAACCGAGTACTAGAACAATACTATTACTTGTTTTATGGAATTTGTATGCTAATGTAATCTTGCTCAGCATAATACAAACCATGACATTTTTACACTCTAACTACAAACTGACTACTTCTACAACTAATATATTGTTGAAAAGGGGAAAGAAACAGTAAGAAGAATTTACCTTGCATAAGGGATTAATTATGTCAGAGGAATTATGGATAGTCTCTCTCGCTCACCCACACAGCACGATCTACATGCAGAAAAAATGCATAATTTATTTTTGCAGCGCAGTTTCCTTGTACAGACCACTTCTGGCACTCAAGGGCTGGAACAACCCTAGATGTGGAAACCCCCCAAAACTACACAAAGTATTTAAACAAATATCCTACCTGTCCCCAAGGTGTCAGGCAAAACAGTATCAGACATTACAGTGAAAACCTTATTGCATGAAAACAGCCACCCCCTTCTTATGACCAGTTGTTTCTTTCTCTGGACCCATCTGGTCCCACTACAACCGTGTACCTTTTTACACGGTTAGCTAAATTAAACAGTAAGCCCTGAATCCAAGAATTAAACAATTTCACCCTTTCAAAAAATAAAGGTAGCAGGGAAGAGTGGCAGAACTATCAAATAATTTGCAATCAGAAGAATTGCAAGAGCCACCAAATCAACCACAAAGGCACAAAATTAGGGAAATTTCTTAAAGCCAAGCAACCAAAAACTAATTCCCATTTTTCTTTTCATCTTTATATTTTGCCTTATTTACAGCGGTTCAACGACCCTATGGCCATATCACTGCCTGCAGCAGCATTAGCTTTCCAGAGGCTCTTACAGCAAGCATATGAAGTCCTGTTGGAAACCACCCACTCAGGAGCAGTGCAGCCAACAAGCATTTTCAAAGTCCTGTGATGGTTGTCATAAACAAATTGAAGAATTTTGAGTCAAATGGACTTCAGTACCATAAAGTTCGTAAGAAACCCCAGGGAGAAAGAAGGGAAAAGTAGACCTTGCAAGAGGTCAGCCTGATAAATAAGCAAGGCTAGATTTAAAGTGTGCTGAGACTTGAACTTAAGGCCTAGGCTTTGGTCTAGCCAGCCTCCTACAGCACCTCGACCTCTCAGCTGGAAGGCAGCAGCTCACGTGAACACTTTCTCTGGATGGGACCACAGCCTGACTGAGCATCCCCTTCCCTTCCCAGCTCCCAGCCGTGGGATCCACCGACAGCAGCAGTGCTGGCCGCTGCCCCGATCTCCTCCTCGGAGCTCTCCTCCTGCCCGCCGTCCCTGGGGATGGTATCCAAAGTAGCCTGTGAAGTTGCTGTTGATGTTTACAAGAGCAAAAGACTTCTCCCAGCCAGATTTTAATGTTCCTTACCTACCACCTCTTCAAAGGCTTTCACCACAACTTCTTAAGTAGCGTAACTTCCCCCACACACACACTCTTTCAAGAAATTCTCTACCGGAAGAACAAGTTAAATCTCTCAGTGTTGAGCATGTACAAGAACGCAAAACAGACTGTTACTTTAAGTCTTGCGGGAATAAAACACCACAAATACTTAAGAGCTTAAAAGGTCTTCCAGAAAGTACTGAGAAAAGTACTGTCGTTACTCTGATATCGCAGTCTGAGCGGGGTCCTAAATTCTGAGTTCCTAAAGTAAATATGTAGTGTGGAAAAGCACACGAAGGTGAGCAATAGAAGCACTGCACAAGAGTGCAAAATTGTCCAGAAAGTTCTCAGTCCATAAGCCAGGTATCTTCCAAGGATTTTCACTGTAATGTAAGAGGGATTGTAATCCGAACAAGTAGAGAGGAATTAACACAAACACAAGGTATCAGCTAGGTTTTGCCTTTCAAATTCTCTCTCTCCTTTATAAGGGAGTCTGAACTTGAGTGTACACGAGGAGAGACAGGAACTGTGCCCCAAGGAAATAGCCAAAACAGGAAAGAAAAAAGAAAGTATGACACCCATGACACAGCACAGAAATCAGTATTAGAAAGAAATGCGAGTTGAGGATTCAGCTGCAGTGGATGAAGGTTCAAAGGGTGACCCTGATGCTCTTGAGTTACCTCAGCAGGAACATCTGCGTGATCACAAGAGCAAAGCAGCTTCTTTTTAAGGAACAGCATTTCCTTCTGTTTGCAGACAAAGCAGTAAAGTTGTGACCCTTTAAAGGGCATCAGGGGAAACAATTTTGCTAGGAACTGAGATTTCTGTTTGTGCACGTATACCGAGATACATACTGACTATCAAAGAACAAACAATAAAGGTCCCTGAAGGTTTCAGGAAAATTCCCCTGCCCACACCTGAGTCATGCTATAAAGTTCTGACACTGAGGAAGCCAGAGTTCTTCATTATCTTGTTCAAGATTTATATTTATTTCTTCAAGGTGGCTTTATCACATTTCCCTTGAAGTAAGGAGCTTTATTAAGAACCTGACTATGCCTGTCATTACTTGGGGATAAAAAGAAAGCTCTCTATCTCAAAGGATTAACATGGAGGACATAAGTAGGAATTAGTGGAAACAAATGAGTCAGAAAGCACTGGAGAGTTCAATTTTTACA